CACCATGGGTAACCGTGACCCTCTAGTTAAGCAAGCGACCCCCAGGAGCAGGGTGGAGGAAGAAATCTTCCACCATCTTCGTGCATGCACAAAGATGCCCACTCTTTCTTCTTGCTGGCCAACCAGAGCCGAAAAGTGCTTTGTCCTTATGTTTTCATCCAGCTCCTTGAGAGCCATGATCATGCTGGCGATCTGGACGGGCGCTGCCTCCTAGTTTGGGAGCCAGCTGGGCTGAGCTGGGCAGAGGCAATAGTAGCAGTGGAGTCCGGTGCTTGGGGAGGGCAAAGTTAGCGCGCTCCCATCCGCACCTACCACCTCCACCAGCTAAGGGCAGCGGACTCAGCTACATCCCATATGAGCCGAGGCTGCGAGGAGCTCCCCGCATTTACCAGAGGGACTAGCCTTCGCCCCTCTGGTAACCCCCGCCCGCCTTCAAGCCAGCCTGCATGGGCTCTCTGGTCTCTGCTAAGATCAGCTTCTTTCCTGTCCTCTGGCATTGTCTGTCCATACCCAGAGACGAATTGGGGTTGTTCTTGCCCTCTGGCAACAGTTCCACCTTCCCCCTCCTCAAGCCCGGCAAGGAAGCCCACACTTCCTGCCAAATCCACCCAAGGAAGGAGAGATAGATCTGAGCTCAGATGAGCTGCCTCTTTCTGAGCTAGAAGAAGCAGTTAAGGGCCAGAGACTGCGACGCTCCCCGGCACGACCAAGAAAATAAAGCTCCTTTTCTCAGGGAGTGTGGGGTGGAGTTTAAGGCTAACCCAGAAGGGGTGGCAGCCTGGTGCTTCCTACTTCTTCTGGCATTGGGGAGACGAACCTCAACTGAATCGGGCTTTCTCTCTCCTTCCTTGGGTGGATCTGGCGGGAGGAGCAGGTTTCCTTGCCATGCTTGAGAAGACGGAGCTGTTGCCCGAGGATGAGAGCAACCCCAGCCGCCTCTGGGTTAGGGTGGAGTCACCTTGAGCCTCCCTCTCTCGGTCTCCTTGGGGGGAATCTTTCTTGGGGCAGGACCGAAGAAAAGGCACAGCTCTACTCCTGTGGCTCCTGCCCAGCGCTCTCTCTTCCCTCTCCCCTTTGCCTCCCCATACTTGCTTACCCGTCCCAGAGAGCTTGAGCTACGCCTCCCTCTGACTCGGCTGCCTTCCTGAGCGAACTCTTCCATCCTTGGCTGTTGCAAAGCGCAACCCAACACGCAAACTGGAAATCTGTTCCCAAACTTTTGGTTTGCGTGTTGTGTTGTTTTTTGCCTTACAGAGGCTTCACGGAAGCCTCCAGAGGGCGAAAAATGGCTGAAAATGAAAGCCGGTCAGTTGGCCAGCACACACATGCATGCTGGACCTGACAGGGCAACGCCTCGAGTGTCCTGGCAAATGTGCCATAGGTTCGCCATCACAGCCTTAGGGCTATATCACTTAAATCCTTTTCTTTGTTAAATTTTAATGCCTTGATATGCTTTGATTTAGAGAAGTGTATATTTTCCCCCCTGGTTTGATGAAATCATTTAGCACTAAATGCTGTTCTGGCTGGCAGGCACAAAGTATTGAATATAAGAGGTTACGCTATTTTTGGAGTATTTTTTCTGAGTGCTGGGCATCTCTCGCTATAAGAAAGTTTGGAATATGAACCCTTAAACATGGATTGAAACTCTGCTGATTACAGATACCAGATTAGTGAATTTTGTTTTGAGATAAATATATCTGGAGGAAAATAACTTATTTTTAGGTACGTGTGGTTTAGGTTAATGGCAACAAATGATTTACTGATAGGAAGACAGCATGTGAGTTTTCTAAGTTTCCTAAAATTCCTCAGGAGGTAAAACTGAAAAGAAATAGGAGTATAAAGAGAAATTGGATAAAATAGTATGAACTGATAACAGATGGTTATAGTTTTTTTGATATTGTGCAAATGATGAATGCTTGCAACATTTGATTTGCATATTTCTAAAAATACTGCTATCCCTATGTCAAATAATCATAATATTGCCCCCTGTTTACAATAGTAAAGTTTAGATATTTTTAATCCAATCCAAGCTTTCATTTTTCCTGCTCTATCTGTCCTATTATGGAAAAAGTTACAATAACACATTTAGAAACATAAAATACTTTTCTGACATCTTTCACTAAAACTTGTTCATATTGGAGCTGCTTTTTCATTGCTTCCAGATTCTAGATACCCTAATATGTAGAAGTTTCTTTATCTCTTGTTAAAATTTCTCTTTTGAGTTTGGTTTCTTAAACTTTTTCTTCTTCTATTCAGTCATGACCAATGGAGATTGCCTTGAATAGGTCCTGTAGTTTTCTTGGCAAGATTTTTCAGAAGTGGTTTGCTATTGCCTCCTTCCTAAAGATGAGTGAAAGTGATTGGCTCAAGGCCAGCCAGCTTGTTTCATGCCTAAGGCAGAAATAAGAGTTCATAGTCTTCTGGTTTCTAGTTTGATGCCTTAACCACTATGCTAAACTGGCTCTCAAACTGGTATTAGTCGTCTGTATTGACATGCACTCCTATCAGTTTCACAGTTTAGATTTAGAAAACTGTATGCAGCTGTGAATGTGTTTTTGCTGTCTGTGAGAACAAGGCTTTCTGTCTGTTTCTCTTCCCTTCCCTTTGCTGGCTCCACAGAGAGCAATAGCAAATCTGTTTGCAGTCATCAGAGAGTTGCTCTGTACACTGATATAGTTTTTTAGGTAAAAAAATAAATAAATTGGCATTCATCTGTGTATGTTTTGATTTTCCTAATATTCTGGACAGATGTCTTGAGGAAAATCTGCAACTCACCAGAATAGAAGCACTATTTACTTTAGAATATCTTATGATATACTAATATGGGAAAAATTTGCTTATTGGGTGATTTTCCCTTTTACAGGCATATATGGCATTGTAGCCTAGTTACTGACTAAGAATGTCCTAAGCTCAGCTTCTAGGGACAGAGTGATTCTTTGTGTGTGTGTATGAATTTCCTCTTCAAATTGGATTCATACACATAGATTTTAAACATATGAATGTATCCGAGTATGGGAAAATTACATCTGTCAAGAACCTTGATTTTAATGTGTCTGATCTCTGTAAATATAATTCAGTGTGTCTCTTAACTTTAATTTGTCAAATTGCAGTGTTAAATCCATTTTCAAAATGAATGTATGTACAGTTCTCTTCTACATGAACTTGTTGAAAGAAAGTAACAGTTTATTTAACAAAATGGATACATTCAAGGCCAAGGGGAACTGGTTAAGAAACCCTTTGATTTGAATGTATTTCCTTATCAATCTTCTTACTAAGCCATGTTAATTTACAAGAAAGCAGAATACAATATGCTGCTTTTGTAAACAGGTTTGTATCTATTTGCCATAATAAAAATGTTTAGCAGTTTCAGCAGATGGTAGCATTTGACTGACCTTTCCTGGGCTCAATATTAATCACTGTCTGGAATGGTTCATTGGGAAGCTTTCAAAGAGAAGTTTAAAATGCATCCTGAAAGATTTTAAAGGCAAACTACATGTAGTCCTTGACTTATGACCACAGTTAGGATCAGAATTTCTGTCACTCGGTAATGTGGTCATAAAGTTCAACATCTGCATTGCTTAGCAATGGCTATCTCAACAATCCCCATTGTGAATAGGTTGCTAGCCAAGGACTCACTCCAATCCAAGCCATTTCAGCCTTGGTTCATCCCAGCTCTGAGCCTAAGTTCTCCTAAGGTAAGGGACTGTGTAGTGCAGAAGGCCCAAAAAGCATAGATGGGGAGGATAATATGTGGGTGAAGGGATTGATCATAGGTAGGAATGGGCTGTCAAGCACCTGTATTTTGATCAAGTGACTGAAGGAGCATTTCAATCTCAAGAGTCACCATGTGGTGAGATGTGTGACAACAAATGAAATAATAAATAAACTTTTGTAACTCTGGGGTCTTAACATAAATCCTTTTGTTCAGTACCCCAATAAGTTTGAACAATTGCTAAATGAAGGGTTGGTCATAAGTCGAGAACTACCCGTATTTTTATTTTCATAAGGAACATTGCTTAGTTCATGGCTTACTAATTTTAAACATTTAGCAATTTAATTTTATTATTTTAGATTTTTTTAAAGTGTTTTAATCTTTTTAAAGATTAATAAGCATGGTAGTTTTAATCAGACATGTCCAACCTTCAGCTCTGGACAAATGTGGCCCCACAAGATTGTAAATTTTAACATTATTATATAATTTATATACATTAAGAGCTGTTGTGGTGCACTGGTAAGAATGCAGTATTGCAGGCTATTTCTGCTGACTGCTGGCTGCCAGCAGTTTGGCAGTTTGAATCTTACCACCTCATGGTTGACTCAGCCTTCCATCATTTTGAGGTTGGTAAAATGAGTATCCAGATAGTTGGGGGCAATATGCTGACTCTGTAGAGGGCTGTAAAAGCACTATGAAGTGGTACGTAAGTCTAAGTGCTATTGTTATTGCTATTAATTATATTTTATAATTTCCACATGACCCAGGACAATTTCTCTTTACTCAATGAGGCCTACACAAGCCAAAAGGTTGAACAATCATAATTTAAATTTAAGATTGAAGTCTTTTTTCCAATTTGAATCATGATATGAACTTTGACTCTTAAAAGCTGCACATCAATGCCATAGATATGACACAATCTATAATTAAGGATACATTTTTCTGAATTGGGTGACTTCTGAATCCATAACATTGACTTGCTGGGTTTGAACCTAAGCCTGATCTTCCCCATCTACTTCCTATCAGCCTGTAGGCATGAGGTCAGCACTTTATATCTGTTATAACATATAAAGCCATTAATTCAAACTAGGAATTTCACATAATATTTAGAACTTTTTGAATTCAAGTATTAGCCATTGCAGATAGTTTCAGGAAGTATTTCTAATGGCAATTTCAGTCCCACAATAATAATCATTTTTAACATTTAGGTGGGGTTATAGATTAGAATTCATATACAGTTAGGCTGGCATTATATAAATAATGTCTGTTTCTTCATTCTCATACACAGGTCCGCTATAAGGAGGAATTTGAAAAGAATAAAGGGAAAGGCTTTAGTGTGGTGGCCGACACACCTGAACTACAGCGAATCAAAAAAACTCAAGATCAAATCAGCAATGTAAGCTGCCCAGCACATTTCATCTTCTGTCTTTGCGTTTCAGATATTTATT